AAAACTACTGTATTGAAAAATTTGTTTTTACCTCATTTTTTTTTTCGTTATATACATTTACTTCAGTTTTTTTATATGCATTTACTTAATTTTATTTTGTTATATGCATCTGTTAGTGTTTTTGAAAAATTTTTAGATTTTTTGAGTATGGCAAAGGAAACGAGATCTATCAGCCGAAGGCAATGAATGTCTCCATGGACGACTTTCTAAGTAAAACGTACTCATGTTCATGTTACACATAGGGGAAAATCACAAAATTCAACCAGTTCGTTTGTTTGGGTTCGAATACGAGTCGAAATAGCGATAATCAGATATCTTAGCCAGGAGGCCATTGATTGGGTTTGACAGATTTGGAAACCTAATAAATAGTATTTAATAAATATAATATTATTAAACGAATCGGATTTATATAAACCAAATAAAATTCTTATATCGAACACAACTAAAACTCGATATAACTTACACTGATAAACTGATGTGTAATAACACTGATAAATTAAAATACTAAACGGAATATACATTAATTCTACATAGATAATTTTTTGTAATGTATTTCGCTGGGAATGTCTGGCGCAAAATCCTGATTATATACCCTTATTATAAGGTTATCACATATCTGATGGTTTGACTTTTACCTCAAAACACAAAGAATCCATAAAATTCAGTAAAATTAATAACTTTATTTCCCTGTTGAAAATTCTCTGAATCTTTTCAAATATAAAAGCACACGCGCCAAGCAGTTTGCTTTAAATAAATATATGCAGCAACGAGAAGATGCGCTTTTGACAGCAACTCGTTTCGAAAATCGAAAATTTTTCTAAATGTAAGAGATTTGTCGCTTAAATTAATTTTTCATTAAAAAAAAAAAAAAAATCGCATATTATAAATCGAATTAAAAGAATTTATTGATAATTCAGATTCTGAAAACAAGAACATTGTTGTTATAAAAAACAAAGAAAAAATAAACAACATATTTCATTCAACGGGGGCCAACTTTGGCGCATGAACTTTTCAACATAAAAATATTTGAAGCATGTTATGGATAAAGGTTTATTTGATTATGGCAAAGTACTCGATGGTTATTTGCCTAAGGTGAAGGATGCCTTCGTTCGAGGACTGCCTAACGGAAATTGGCTTGCATACATGTTACACATATGGAAAACTAAGAATATCATCCTGGCAACCAGCTCGTTTGCCGGGATTCGAACCCCGGACAGAACCACCAGTTGTTCCGTTAGACTCCGCTCAGTCGCTGGTGGGCTGTCCGATAACGGAAAAGTTCAAAATTTCATATTAGAGGAAAAGTGGTAGCATAGTATAATTCGAAGTTATTGCCATTTCAGTAATGTGAAGAGATTTCAAGAATGTTTAATTATTTTATTTAGCTTATGACAAACTAAATAAAATAATTAAACATTCTTGAATCGCTTCTCTTAACATACTGGTAGTTTGACCTGCATTCAAACCCCCGTGAACAAGCTGATTGCATGGGCGTTTTTATGGTTTTAACTTTTTGTAGTGCGAGATTGTTTCCCTTAGAAAATCTGTCACGAAAGCATACCTCCCCTTAGACAGATCGCCTTCACGTGCTTAATAATCTAACAAGCCAAACCAAACACAACCCGAGCGAGGACTCGTAGTCAAGGCACGTCATCATGAAAAGCTAACTAAAATTGGCTCATATTCACATTAAACATGGCAGCAAAAATTCGCTAAAACTGGTATGCAGGCAATCCATTCGTCAGGATTTGAACCCGCTTCAAACTATTAGTATTCAACGATTTTACCGCTACTTCGTTGGCGGCCTTTTGTAGTATCTATAAGTAAAGTAATCGCAAAGACACAATCATTGCGTACCGACGGATGAATTAAGTTCGGAATTTAAAGAATAACTTTCATTCGTGCTATTGCTGTTAGCATTGACATTTGGACAGATGTTAATTTATTTTAAATTCTTTTAATGTAATTAATTTATATCTTTAAATAATTGATCTTCTGACTGTAATTTTTTGTGCGGAGTATATCTAACCCTTCCGTACACTAACTGTTTTAATTAATTTACACTCCATTTTAATTTTATATCGATAGATTTCTTTCCAAAAATGTTTCAAGGATTACATATTTTTTCTTTAGATTTCAAAACATTTTGGATTTAAAATCTTAATAATAAAATTTTTTAAAACAAATATTTCTAGAAATTCCTTCGGCGTATTCATTTATTCCATTTAGTTGAAGTTTCGAGTAGAATATCTTCCTTTCAACATTCATATAATTTTTATATGTCAGTTCGCCATTTCTACGGAGCATAGAGCCACACATACGAGTACAAAACTCAGGCATGCTGAAAGCACAGTTTTAACATTTAAGAATGTAAAAAAAAGAATATACCATTATAATAACGCGCATTTGAAATACGAAGGCAAACAAGAAAGCTGGTTGCAACATTTTATATTTTTTCCTGACGAATCAGAAATTGTAATCATTTTTCAATACAAAAATAAAATATTTGATTCTATAACATATAGGCATAAAGGCGTCCTCCGTTACAATTCTTATTTTCTCTTGTTTATACTAAAATTCTCCAATGTACTAACGTCGAATCCTATTATAACAACGTCGGATCCTGTTTGACTTTCATTTGTATAAAGTACCACAAGGCAAACAGTTGTAAAACGATTTATCTTCTTTCGCAAACTTTTAGTCGGCACACAGATAATACATACCTGCTGTCTGACAAAGATACTTCACTCTAAGGACTTTTTCCTAAAGTGCTCTTTTCAAAGAGACTTCACACCCTATTAAGACCTTTGTGTCAACTGACAGCTGCCTGCAGAAAGGTAGGGGAAGGAAGACCAGATCGCGTCGTCTAAACATGTCTTAAGCAATCTTCACGAAATTCGGGCTTCGTGTATACACGTCTTAAGCATTTTTCGTGCGATTTGAAATTCGTGTAAAGACGGCTTAAGCATTTTTAAAGAAATTCCAAAAACATTTAAACACGTCTTAAGCAGTTAAAGGATTAAATTTTATTTGAGCTAAAATGTTTTAACTCTCTGATTGGCATGGCGTTTTGGATCTGCTCATATAAAGCTATATTTATACAGCATTTATCTGCTAAATTTGTGTAATAATTTATTTTAGTCTTCATTTTTCATAATTTTTTATTCATTAAAATGGTATTTACACCGTTAAAGAAAGTATGAAAGCAAAACATTTTAAATTATAAGCTAGTGTATGCCAAGCAACAAAAAGTCTCATGACTAGGTAATGGCAGTCATACCACTCAGGAGGTTAATCTGTTGTTGACATTTGAGGAAGATTTGATGCATGTTTAATCAATGTTAATTTTAGTGTTTAATTTTGTTGTACATGCTGCATTAATTATTAATTTTATTTTCATAATATTTAAAAGTTATTTGATAAATAAAAGCTTTCCTTCCTTAAATAAATAAAATAAAAGCTTCCTTCTGGATTTTTTTCAGTATAAAAGTAAGAAAATTAGCTAAAGAGCACAAAAATTTAAAATATTCAGTTAAACATTAATATATTTTACATTAGAATCATATTATAAATAATTCATTAACCTAAATTATGCATTATAAAGTGAATTTAAGTCAATTTGGAATTCTTTAGAAATGGCATCGCCGCACTGTGTAAAATCCTCATAGAAACTCTAGGTTTTTTGTATTTCAAGGCTGTTATTTTATTAAAACTATGAAAGTTTAGCAAAAATTTTTTGAAAATAAACTAATTTTGTATATTTAATAAAAGTTATTTTTTCTGTAAGCTATATTACTTTTTATTTTTTACTGCTGTCTCTTATTCTGTGTATCTTTTTTTTATTCCTGACTCAAAAGTTGCTTTTAGTGATGATTTGTGCATAAAAGCTTCTCTAATTAGGTCTAGGGGAAGAGAATCGTAGGAACTTGACATTCTTGTTCATCCTTTTGACTGATTTGTTACCTGATGTTTCAAAGATTTAGCTGAAAGGTTATCTATATAAAATTATGTTGCACTAAGTATAATGATGCCTTAAGTTATGTCTAAAGCTAGGCAATGCTTTCTTCGAGAGATTCTGTTATTTGAAGATAAGCCAGATGTAAAATAAATTATATTTTCTGTAGCTTATTCTGTAATATAAAAATTGTGATGAATATGTTGTGCTTTTAATAAATGTAATAAAATTGGAAATTGCAAGTTATAAAACTTTAGAAGTAATTTATTTTCTAATGCTGTTTTCTTCTTGAAGCCTCATATTTGAGCAAGAGAAACTATTTTTCATTATCGTCTAGTTTTGGACAGAAAATTTAAGTGTATCCGATTGATAAATAAAGTGTGTAAATCAGTTTTTTAAAAGGTCTTAAATAAATATTATGTGTGAATCTTGTGTAACACATGAATGATAAATATTACATTTCTTTGTTAATGTCTTTTTTAAATACCAGGATAAAGATCAACGGAGTATGGATATAGATACTGCAAAAGCTATGCTTCAGTTACTTCTTGGAAGGATATGGCCATTATATGGCTCATTTCATCAGTTCCTAGAGGTAGAAATAATATTTCCTGATTGGTAGTATTTAAAATTTACTCTGTAAAAGTTTGCTAATTTTTTTAAAGCAGATTAGAGTATAACATTTTTAAAGATTTTTTCATTCCTCTCTTCCCCCAATGCATCATGACTAGTAATACAACATTTCTAATAGCAAAATAAGCATTATGAAAGAAAAACAAAAAGTCAACTATGAGCTGCTCTAAAGTCACTATTTTTAATTTTGAAATCTGACACAAAATTTTTTTTCTTGAAACAATTTTTGTTAATATTATGATATTCATTACCTAAATTTTTAAAAAATGCCTGTTTGCATGAACCCTCTTAAAAAACCTTAAAATTTTTTTTTTAATGTGCATTTGAATAATAGGTTTTGTGAAATTAAGTAAATCATTCCTCTTCAAATAGCAATCAAAGTACAAGGTCATAAATAAAGATCAGTGGTGTAATGTTTTAGAATTCAGTCGAACCATTAAACAAGATCTGAAGAATTATGATGAAGATGGTGCTTGTAAGTATGCTTTCATTTTGCTTAAACATGGTGTTCTGTGTTAAAAATCAGCTGTCTGACATGCTGAGGATTAATATATGATGTAACCAATCCTTTAACATAAACTGTTGGACTAACTGTGACAACAAGGCTGCCCTCTGGTGAGTAGCCAGAGAAGTACTTCAGTAAAAGCCAAGGCTCCCACTCGATAGGTTGTGCCAGAGTCTTGCTCTGTAATTTTCTTATAGTTAAATGTAATGTCCGTGTGTAACTTAAACCTGTTAATAAATACTTGTTACACTATACGGGACTCTTTTATGACCCTATCTAAAACGACCCCCTCACAATGAACATTTTATCTTTCTAAATAGCTTTACCAGAATGTAAAAGAGGATTTCTTTCTTTTTCTCTTTTTAATTAAAACCCAGTAATCTAATGAGATTTCTGTATCATGATATATTTAAAAAAAAAGAGAGAATTCTTTTAATTAATGATTGAAAAATATGTCTGTGTTCAACAGTTTATTTTAACTCTCATGGTTTAAAGTATACATTATATGTCTTCTTAGTTAAATGCAAATTACCTGGTTATATAAAGCTAATCTGAAAAATAAGGTAACGAACAATAATTATACTGTTATCCCGATTTCCTATCTGAGGAGTAGCAAAAGAACACGCACTCAGGCACCACCTGTAGATGGTGTTACATCACTACGATGAAAGTTGCGTCAAATGTTGTACAATGAAATATCGTTTGTAAGATGATTTTGCTATCAAAAACATTTTCAGGTATTGAAGTGGGATAAGTTTTCTGCATCTAAAGTAAGCATCTCTACTTAAATGAATTATCAACTTCTTGTAGTGCACTGTGCTAATGTCTTGTCACATAAATGAATTTGTTTAAATGCTTCGAGTTCAGTGAAGCTAGAACAGATGTGCAAGATGAGCAGTTACTTGGTTGGCCAAAGATATATGCCATAGAAGACAGAGTTTGTCTTGTTGGAGCTCTGATTCAAGATTATTATCATGTTTGACTTAGTGAAAATGCCCATATTCTCAGTGGGCTGCACACAGTATCGTTCCAAAGTAATTTTACTCCTGGAAATGTTGGTGCATAAGCAACATACATATTTTCTCAAATCCATGGGGATCGGCTTGTCTCTCATACATTTAATATGGTTGGATGACGAAGATGTTCTATTCTTGTATTGTATTGTTTCAGGAAATCATGTTACACCTCAGAATAGAATTTGTATAGTCGTTAGCCTAAAAGTCGTTAGTCGTGCCTAAAAGCTCTTAGATATTTTTTTAAATAATTTTTGGTCTTAAGTCCTTAATTTGCACCAAAACTGCCAGAAGGTCCTTAATTTTACTCATCTGACATTTCTGTCTGTTTTTTTTTAATGACTGCCAGTTAGAGTATAAATCACTTTTTAGGAATAAATTGAATTTTATTAAAAAATTAAATTTAAATACATATTTAATTAAATATTCTTTGCGCCATTGCTGCAAGGAATGAAATTTAAATTTAAACTAATTTAAATTCTTAACAAATATGTATAAAAGTAAAAAAGCAAATTTAAATTCTGAAAAAAAGGAAAAAAGCCAAAATAATTTAAAATAATTTTTTAAAAAAATGTGCAAACATGTAAAAGATTTCATTCTTGAACTAATCTACAATATCATTTAAATTCAGAAGCATAAGCAAATCAAGTGTAAAATCTATCCATGAAAATAAATCTAGTAATTTAATAAATTAAAATTAAATTAAACAATTTTTTTAAAAAATGCATATGTGAATGACCGTAGAGTAGGCAGGAGACAGACTTATCAAGGGGAAGTTGCCTCCAAACCTAACTCTCCAATCATTCAATTCGTGTTTCGTCATTCATGCAGGCAAGGGTAAAAGTCAAAACCAAAAGTAATTCCAATAAAGTGGTACCCTTAGAAATTAACATTTAAGAATTAAAGTTCAAAAAGGAAAATACTAATGAAGTCTTTTGAGTAACAAGCAAGTAAAGTCAAGAATTAAACTTTTTCTTAAAAAATTAAATTTTTTAAAAATTAATTTATTATAAAATAATAAAAAAATCTAGAAACCAATGTATTTTAGAAATCCTTGTCTACAGAAACTTCCCCTACACGAATATGAATATCAATAAAAAGAAACTATAAAAGAACTATATATAATCCATATTAACCAATAAGAAACAAAAAGAAGTAATTCACAATTTTTAAAAAACAAAATATATATTTAAAAATATAATTTCATATTTAGAAAATACTTAGATACTACATAAAAAAAAAAAAAAAAAAATACGTAAAGCAAGTAAATAGTAAGTTTTAATTTTAACTTTCCTACTATATGAGTGTTGGGGTCTGCAAAAGTGTTGTGAAGAAGTAAGTGTGTTCTTCAAATTATATAGATTGCGCTTATGTAGGTAAAGTTGAGTGTCAGGCTGCTATCTTTGTTATAGTAAAAAAATTTTTGTAAACATTAATATTAAAAATTAAATTAAATTAATTTAAAATCCTAAAGGTAGTAACATCAATTATTTAGGGAGTTAAGTAACTGAGCCAATCAAGAGCTGTAAGTTTGCTTGAAGGAAATTAAAGTGAAGTGGTATGTGAAAAAAAATGTAAACTGTTTGTAATTTAAAATGTGTGTTCTGTTGAAAAATTGTGAAAATTGTTAAAAAAATTAAGTGAAAGATATTTTGTGTGAAAATTGCAAAAAATTAAAGTAATTAAGAAAAACTGAAATGTTAAGTTTTAAAGTAAAATTTCCCAAAATTATTTTGAAATGAAATCCTTAAAAAACCTCTAAAAATTTCCAGAAATTTCTCAAAAATTCCTTTAGGAAGTTAAATAAAACTTAAATTTGATGAAAGAAAATATTAAAAGTTTAATGAACTTGATTTCAATTGGTATATCAAAACTTACTAAATACTGGCTTAAGTATGGAAAATTAGAAGAAGATTAAAATCTTCACTCAATTCGGGCTATAATTGAGACTTTTGAAAAGAGTTGGCCCTTTATTAGTAAAAGGAAAGAATCCAGTATTGATTAAATATACATATTTACAAAATATTTACAATAAAAATTTAAAATAATTTCTCTACTCTTTTATATCCTTCATTACCCTCTAGCTAAGGTTTAAGGTAATGTTATCATATCCAAAAGAGCCAAAAAATTATAAAGTAAAGGCCTGCCTTTTTAATATATAAATTAATAAATTTTGGTGGTACATGGTTATCAACTTGTACATTAATTAGTTTTATGATTTCTTCCTTTAAATCGTCATTTTCAGTACATATATTTTTTATTCTGATAATTTGGCTATGAAACGTGTTTTCTATTACTTTTCTAGAGATATTAGAGTTCCAATTAATTAGTTTAATGGTAGGAAAATGGAAATTCCTTCTTTTATCAAATAATTTAATTTTGCTGTGTTTAATAATTTGCAGGTCTAGGAATTCAATAGTATCTTGATTTGTATTCATTTTATTAAGTGTTAAACTATTTGGGTAAATTTTGAATTGCTCAAAAGTAGAATTATTATTGAAAGTTATAATATCGTCTATGTATCTAAAAGTATGAGCAAATAGCTTTAATTCATTTTTATTTAAACTGAGTTGGAATTTATATTCAAATGTAAAAAGAAATAGGTTACAAGTTTGTGTAGAACTGTTTGCTCCCATAGGAATTCCTCTAACTTGCTGAAAGATCTTATTATTGTATTTAATGTAGTTATTAAATAATGCACAATTTAGATAAGTATTCCATCTTTCAATACAAAGGATGTCAAGTATGCCAGGAAAAAGTTGTGGGAGTTGCATTAAACTAGTAAAAATTTCTTCTAATGGTAGAGAAGTATAAAGGTTTTCAAAGTCATACGAGTTAATGTTCTTGATTGTTAAACTTTTAAAACTGCTGAGAACTGGAGCATTATTATAAGTAATCCAACTATAATTGTGTTGTTTGTTAACGAGTTGTTGGATTAAATTACAGATTTTTTAAGTATAATTGCAAATATGTAATCTGTATTCTTTTTATAATTATTTGTACCATTAGCAATAAATCTAAATTTGAGTGGTGATTTATGAAATTTTGAGAGAGCATATAGATTTGCTAATCTATTGTAGTTAGATGGTTGTGAAATTTGCAGTTTCTTATGAAATGCTTTTAGCTTTTTTGCAATAACATTTTCTTGTAGATTGGTGAGTTTGTAAGTAATGGCATTATTGAGTTCAGTATTAATTAATGAGACATAAAAAAAATTTTCATATTATGCTAAAGTTATTATTGGCTTTGTCAATTTTGGTAATTATGAACTTTTGTTTTAAATCCTGTAAAAGAGGTATGAGAATATTCCACTGTAAATTGCTATTAAATTCAATTCTTCGAATTTTTTGCTTGAATTCTTCTAATACTGCATGTTTCCATGCCATAAAGGTAGAATTTGGAATATTTAATTTGAAACTAGTTTTAACTATAAATTCGTCTATTATATTTTTTACGAAACTTTTAAATCTGTGATGTTTGTTAATTTTTAGTACTGGTCTAAATTTGGTACTTTTTTCCATTAAAATTCTTAAATGTTGGTTTTGAACTATTGCTAAATTGCCTGTTATAATATGTTGGAATATTTTGTGGCGATGCATTGACAAATATGTATTTGATGGCTTAACATTTGATTTATTTTGAAATTATGTGGTACTAAATTTCATCAACATTTTGGCTCATCAACATTTTGACTCACCAACATTTTGGCAATTTCGAGATCAGCTTAGGTACAAAATCTTTTATTCAAAGATTTGTGAAACTTTGACGATTTTTTGTACAACATTGATAAATATCATAGAAATAATGATAATACAGTCAAAAGTCGTTAATTCGGACACCCATAATCCAGACCTCAAAGCTAAAAACTTTCTGCGCATGCACCGCATTGACACATGCGCATAGGCGTTTACGCGTGCGCGTTTTATGTATAACGGACGGTATAATCTAAAATTATCT